GGCATGTAGTAAGTCCAATGTTAGCTATGCATCTTCAGGGCTGGTCTTCTTAAATCGATGTCAGTGGAGTGGTCGCTCTACCTACACCGGTGCTTTTCAAATTTCTCTGCCTCACAACCACCTGGAGGGCTTGCTAAAACACACATTGCTGCCCTCCACCCCGAATTTTTGATCCAGTTGGTATGGAGTGGGGCTTGAGAATTTGCATGTCTAATTAGTTCTCAGGTGATGCCGATGCTGATTGTTATGGGACCACCCTCTGAGGACCACTAGGCTAGGTAGCTGGGGAGGGTGGATGTCTAATTAAAGTGATTGAACACTTGGGGCTGAAATAAACTCATACTAGAGAATAAGGCAACCCCCTCTCCAATGGATATGGCCATAGATTATCTATCTATTAATATATCCATTCAGCCAATATTGTTGAGAATCTACTATATCCAGGCATTGTGCTAGACATTGATGACAGAGCAGTGAGGGACACAGACAAGAAAGTCCCTGATGTTGATGAGTTCACAGTCTAATGGCCCTGTTTTGGAGGGCGGGGCATCATAAATATGTGCCCCATCAGTCAGAATTGTCGGGGCATGGTTGATCTGAGGAACCACTAACTTTAAAGACACTGATGTCAATAATTGCCTTCCTGTTTATTGCATCATTGTAGTTGCCTCTAAATAATCGATTTTGCCAAAACAATAAATCAAAACTGATTATGGTAATCCCCTAATCCCCCTGTCTGGAACTGTAGCCATCAATTGGCACTGGTCTTACGGTGAAGTCAGCCCATGGAACATGGCAGAGCAAATCGGAGCCAGGCTGTGATATAACATCTGTTAAATGATATGATAAATATCCTTACAGTTATTATGATTATTACTAGCCAATTTGAGTAGGAGTTTTCTGTTTTGGTGCCAAAAGTTCCCTATGACGTAATAGCTCTCCTTTACTAAGTGCTTATGATGCGCCAGCCACCAGCTCCACAAAGGAGGCACTATTCCAGTCGCATTGTTTAGGGAGGAAACTGAGAGGTTAAGTCGCTTGCCTGCTAGTTGGGTACAGAGACATGAAAGGTAAGGCTGGGTTACGGAGCATGAAGAGCTGGTGAGGGGAACTTAAATGCTTTGCAGTGACACCAACCTAAATGGTTTACAATCACACCACCCTTCCTTAAGCTTCCTCCAAGACTAAGCTGGTAAGAATGGAAGAATAAACCAACCAACTTTATCTTGGTCTGGTGGACTGGGAATCGTGGAAGGCAGTTGACTTGCCCAGGCTGCCCCCCTCTTGTTCTAGTTCCCTTCATTAAATTTGACTGCTTTCTAGAAGCTAATCAACACATTCTTAAGAACTTTTTTGGCCCAACCTCCTGGTTAGGGAGTGAGGGAAAAGGGCTTGACTGGAGATGGTAGCGCCCTACGTCTTAAAACTCCCCCATGTGGCCAGATTTCAACAAACACATCCTTCAGCGAGAGTCAATTACGTAAGCAATGAGCTCCTTCTAGCAGCTGGGGGCCATTTTGTCAAGAAGTGCTCCTTTGGAGAGAGAGGGGAAAAAAAGGCATAGAGGTGCATGCCAGTGCCCTCATACTAAAATATAATAAAGGTGGCAATTAAGTTCAGTTAGAGGTATACAGCTTTAAATTAGAGGATGTATTCAGAAAGCATTCTATAAACTGCAAAGTGCGAGAATGTGAGGCATTATTATAGTTAACCTTACTTCTGTGAAATCGCAAAGGGGATGCTCTGTCTGCTATGGCAAGTTAAAGGGGCCAGGGGATGGAGAGGCTAAAACTAGCAGCTTTCTGGGGAAAGGAAACAGAGCCGCAAGGGTTAAACTCTCCAGAACACCAATTTATGCAAAGGGTTGGATCCCAACCGGCTCTCGGGCCAGCCCTAAGATCTGAATTACAAATTTACAGAATTTGCTGCTCAGTAAGTAATTTCTTTTCTCCCTAAGGGAGCCCGTAATTTCCAGTGGGCCAGGGTCACTGTGTGTTCACTGATGGAGTGAGGAAGATCTAGACTGCAGAGGAGCCTCATTTCTACTCGCCCTGCGACCCGCTTTTTAAGAAGGCTTCAAAAGGGACATTGGGATGATGGTTAAAACCAACCCTTACCTTCCTTACCATTCCGCAAAGAGCATGCCCTGTGTCTGCAACTTGGGTGAGTTGATCACTGAAATCATTTTCCTTTCCAGAATTTTCTTTAAAGCTGGAAGTCTAGCTGAGGGTTTAAGATCCCGCTTAGGATTTAAGATCCACGTGGCAGTGTTTGACATAAGAAATGACATTTGTCAGGCCCTGGATGTGGAAATGAGCTCCCTTCTGGGGGCAGGCACTGTGAAGGAGTCAGCAGGACACAGATTCCAGGCTCATGGAGTCTAATTTAATGGGGCCCCATTGCATCTGGACCGCTTGCAAGCAAATAAGGGCAGTCCAGCTCCAGCTCGTGTGTGTGTGTGTGTGTGTGTGTGTGTGTGTGTGTAAATCCCAGACAATTTGCTTAAAGAGCAGGAGGATGCAACAAAACCCACAGAACTTAACTTTCTTTCTCTTTTCCCTCCCTTTTGGGCATTTCTGGAGGTATGCCTCCCCTTCCCTAGATGATGAATTCACGAGGGACCTCACGGGCTGCTGAGAACAAGAGCGCTTTTGAATGAATTCTTTTATGGATATCAGTCAAAAAGTCACCGTCCGCTGGAACTGGAAAGCTGCGTTTTTGTTTTTGTTTTTCCCCCAGGGGCAGCCGGTTCAGCTCAAAAGCTCAATTCTTGGAAGGGCCACTTCTTGACACGGGAGAAGACACACTTCCCTGTGCACCTAAAAATAAGAAAGTAAATGAGTAAATGAGTTTGTAAATTTTTAACGAGCCCCCTAGGCCCCCTCCCACAGGCCATAATGCCCTTTCAGCTGCAAGACGTGTTTTGTGTTTCGATGTTATACACAGCTTTGCCATCCAAGTGGCCTTTCTGGGCTCCATATTTGGAGGAACTTCAGTCCCTCAAGGCTTTTGAGACTCAAGAGCCTTCCAGAGCTCACTTGGGGGAATTTCTGCTCTTTTTTTGTTTTTTTTTTTGTTGTTGTTGTTTTTTTTTACAGAAGTTCAGCGGGTGGCATGGAAATTAGTATTGACTGTATAGGCATCAGGAATGAGCTCCCAGCTAAAAAACCAACCAAACAAAAACAAACCCTCAAAACTCAAAGATGGGGTTTTATTGCAGTTCTGAGGCTACAACTAGCTTTCGAATCCCCCAGATAAGTCATTGTCTAAGTCTGCTCTGGCTTAAGTTTTCTTGCCTTTAAAAATAACAACAACAACAACAACAAACCCAAGCAATTTCGTTAAAAGCTTGCTCTCTTTTTCGGCCAGGGCAATACGAAACCGTTACAGAAAGTGTTGGCTGTGCAGAGAGGTTCTCAGCAAAAAACGTCATTGAAAAAAAATTTAAAATTTTTTTTTTCTGGGAAGGTGGGGGATGGGAGGGCTCCTTCTGCATTTAGTGACTCAGTCCTGCCCAGGGGCATTTCTCATCAGGGCCAAAAGCCCCTGTGCCCAGTGAGGTGAAACTTGCAAATGAAACTGTCACCTTCCTCAATGGACTAGTATGGCCCAGAGCTCACCAAAGGTCACACAAGGCGACCCCCCCTGGTGTTCGGGACAAAGGAATAAGCAGCTGCCTGGTTTTCTTGAATCGACCCATGTTCCATGATGGTGTTGGTGGAGGAAAGTCACCCTACCAGTAAGCTTCCCCAAAGGGCTTTTTCCTGATTTGTGCCAAGTTAAGCATTCAGACTCGAAGTGCCATGAGGTCATTCTCAACTGGGTGAGCCACAGACACTGATTTCCGGGTTTGAGCAGCAGGTCTGAAGGAGCTAAGGAAAGGACCTCTGATCGTTATTTGAAACCTAGCATTCGGCCATCCAAGCTGGGAGCTAGCGGTCCCCCACAGCAACGGGCCCCCCACATCTGGGAGATAGCATCTTTTTCCCGAACACATTTTCCAAATGCCGTTTTTTCTTTTGCCAAAGCCATGGTTTTATTTGCCTAACGTGCAGACTTGTCAGAAGAGTATAATCAATGTTTACTTCAGATCATTGTGTAATGGATTTTTACAAGCCAGTGTGTATGTGTGGTTCTATCTGTGTGTGTATGAATATGAATGCATACATGCATTTGTTCTTTTAAGTAATATATAAGTATGAATGTCTACATACCTTTCTCCATGTAAAGTATGTTTATATGTATGGACATGTTCCTACATGGGCATAAATACGTATCTACTTATCATGTGTCTATCTATAGTGGACATTGCCCAGGCACACATCTTCTAGCTTCCCACTTCCTAGCTCAGTGGGAGCACCTTACCTGTCCCACCACCTCCCAGGGTGGGCCGGGACTCATCAACAAGGGTACAAACGCCAGCTCCCTTTGGCTCAAGGTAGAACCAACTGTAAGGTGCAATTCATGCTCCAGCACTCCCTAGGGGATCAGGATGAGCCTCAACTCCAGCTGAGCCCAATCCTTGCTCAGCTCCCTCCTTGCCCTGTTGTTCACTTCCTCTTTCCACCCAAGGGCCTCCCTCCGCATATCACATGCTCCTGAATCCCTGTCTCAGGCTCTGCTCTAGGCAGCCTGGGCTAAGACAGTACTTTTATATAAGTGCATGTGTGTATATGCAAATATATGTGTGCACACGTTTGTATGTGCATGTGCCCATACACAAGGAAATCTAGGAGCGTCTGGGAGGGAAGACAAGATGGGGGAAGAAGACTGATTTTATCCTGTGGAGGATAAAGGTGTCTCAGAGAGTACAAGAGACCTGCTTTAAAAGTTGAAAATTAAAAGATGCTTTAGATGTAAATGTATTTTTTTATTAAATCAGAAAAAGAAAAATACAGTATACATGATATCAGTCAGTCATATGCTACTTTGAATTACATTTTAATAGACTCATGGTCCTATTTACTCCTCTGTACACGTATTAAAAAAACGTCCGGTATTTGAATAATCTTCCAAAAATTTTTATTAACTGGGGTTATGGGGAGGGTTTTATCAGGAAACATCCTGAGAACATTAGGAAATTACAGACAGACTTGAGATAAGTGTCAGACAGAACAGATGAAGCAAGCCCCTCAGCCATCTGAGAGGCATTAATAATGTAAGATTGCAGAGACCAAATCTTTGTTAGGGCTACAGGATGCAGGATTAAAATGGAGACCTCAGTGCCCCCTTGTGTTGCAAAGTAAACTTGCAACTTCATTTATTCTGGTTTTTGTTTGTTTGTTTGTTTGTTTGTTTGTTTTGAAGTTGTAATGTCACTGAGCTTCAAAAAGCAATTGTTTTCCCAAAGCATTTCAAACCCTCTGCGGTCAATCTTTTCCCTTCTCATCAATAACTTTCAAGGACCCTATTCGAAAAGCAACTCTTCTTCATTCCCTTTTTATTCCCCACACATTCCATTCCAGGAAATTGGCAACCTCCCCCACGGAGCCCATGCTATTCCTCCTCGAAATGTGAACTTAAACAGAGTTTTGTCTCTCCTCCTCGAGTTTAGAGGATGAGCGTGTATTTCCTACAAAGCTTACTTCCTTCCAACAGGCATTCTTCTTCTGCAACTTACTTGCCACTGCCATTTTTCATAACTTACCCAGAATGCATTCCCCCACCTCTCTGCCCGCTGCCTGGCAACCATCGAGGTCTTCCCACCTGACTGGTTCACCTGCTAAACCATCTTGACAGCTATTTACTGGAAAAGATTGGACCAGAGACGTAAATAATACACCTCGATATACAACAGCTCAGGCTTAATTTGTAGGCAGAATTTCATTTGATGGTGTTAGAAGAAAACTATGTACATGGAGTGGGCTCGGGGAGGAAATGGAGTAGGGAGAAGACATCTTGCTGGCAGGATAACTTGGTGGGAACTGTAGTGATTTGTTTACTTGGATTTGCCAACCGGTCCGATGGATACAGGGTCTGTTTGCACTTGGGCGTCCAACATCCGCTTTGGTCCCTGGAGAAAAATATAAAGAAGTTGCACCCTAATGAAAGTCTGAAATATCAAGAGCAATGACTGCCATTTATTTTGCACTTACTCCGTGCCAGGTCTCGTGCCAAATAAATATACCTTTTGCATGACTGGTGGATAAAAGAATGGTTTCCAGCCAGATGTTGGAGTGCATTGCCCGGTTCTTTCACTCTCTAGCTCTGTGACAACTTGGAGGAATTACTTCACTCTTTCAAATCAGTTTCTTCATCTTTCCAATGGAGGAGATACAACTTATCCCCGAGGGATGCTCCAAGGTGAAGTGAGTCTCTCCTCTGGCCCCACGAGGCGTGGACTTTGGGGATCAGAGGCATTCACGTCACCTCTGTCCTGCCCGCTGTTTCAGGCCTGCACTTCACAGGATGCAACCAGCCAAGCCAAACCCACCCTCATCTGGTCCTCTCGCCAGCCCAGCGAGGCGGGCAGGGATGATTAGCCCAGTTCTACAGACGGGAAAACGGGCTCTAAGAGAAGTCAGGACTGGCTTACGTAGCGTTGCACGGGCCCCCCTGACTTGGAATCCGGACCTCAGATCACCGGCTCTCCAGGCTCCAGCCTGGGTCCTGCCCGCTCTACCCAAGCCCTGGGTGGAATAACTGAGCTAATTGTTCCCAGCCTCGGTTCAGCCTGTGCCCAGTGGAGAGGGCCAAAAATGATAGGTAGGGGACTCTGGGAGAATAAAGAATAGACCCTATCTTCTTTCCAGTCTCCATCGGCTCCCCTGTAAAACCTGCAGATTGACCTGCACGGAATCCTAGCACTACACGAAGGCGTCGGGGACCCGCGACAGTGGGAGAGATGAGAGCGCCATCAAGTGGGTGGCTCTTGGGCTAGCTGGGGGGAGGGGGCTTACTCCCCCTCCAATCAGAGCTCCATGTTGATCAAACAGATATGTTTCTACAGACACATTTATGTGCGTACGCACACATACGCACACGCACATACACCCGTGAAGTTTCTGACGTTTCCTTTGTCAGCCGAGTCCCTCTGCTCAAAAACCAAATGCTTGCAAACAGTGGCACTTGATGAGTTCTAAAGGCTTCCTTCCAGTTCTTTTCAGACGCTGCATGAAATGCCAAGGAGGCTGCTCCCTGTTAGAATCCAGGCAGCATGACGAAGGACTTGGGGGGGGGGGCGGAGGGAGGAGCAGAGCAGAGAGGCTCTCACCCGCAGGGCAAAGATCAAGCAGGGATCGGCAGGCAGTGAATTTGGGAACTGACTGGGGCAGCTGGTCTTGGGCAAGGAGAGAGGGAGGCGGCATGTGGACAGAGGGAGAATGAATTGCAGGGAAAGGAGTCCCATGGTGGGTTTAAGGTGAGAGCAATGTGGGCCGATGTCCCACCTTTGCAGGGGGTCAGGCTCCGGTCCACACACAAGGTCCAGCGTATTTGCCGGGGAAATGATAGTGTCCACTATGGAACTCCTGCTTCATGTCAGGTGCTGGACCCCTTAGGGCATACATGCATCTGATTCCCCAGGAACCCTACAATGGTTGCTGTCATTATCACTTCAGCTTTGCACAGGGGAAACTCAAGGCGCGGATGGGGTTAAGTGACTAACCCAAGGCCACAGTAGCTAGGAAGTGGTAGGTCTCGGACTCCAGTGAAGATGTCCGACTTCACAGCACGGGCTCCCAGGCACTGCTCTGTTCTTTCCAACTGTCCTATGTGCTGTTTGGCCATCTCTGGGCTTCTCAGCTCTAGCCCCCTGACACTTGGGCTCTCCCACCTCCATCGATCAGAGATCACCAATACCCACAGATATTCAGGGACCGGGACAATCAGGAATGATCAGTTGGTTTCGGGTAGTTTGCTTCATGTACCTGCCCCATCTCTATCACAACCTGGAGGTTAACTCCAGCCCCATGGCTGTTCTGTGCACCGTGGGACATTTAGCAACATCCGTGGTCTCTACCCACAACATCCCAATAGCACCTATTCCCAGTGGTGACCATCAAAATGGTCTCTGGACATTGCCAAATGTCCCCTGTGTAGAAAATCACAGGTTCAGAACTACTGGATGAGATCCATCCTGTGAGACCCAGGGATTTTGTGTGTGAGGAGATATGCAGAGAACACTCCATGAGCCTCTGACCAAAAAATAAAATAAAATAAAACCCAAAAAACAACCAAAAACCACCAAGAAAGTGAGGAACTGACTGGGCCTGTGAGCTCAGAATCTTTCCAAAACAGCACCCTCCCCACGCGGTACGCCACCCCGGGCACTGTGGCTTGGCAGGGAATGGTTCAACCAGAACTTTGGGCAGAAAAAAATGTATAGTCAGTTTGGAAATGTCTAGAAAAGTGTGATGAGGGTTTTTACGCTCCTCTCCAAGGAACTGGAGCAGAGAATGGAGACAGGTTTTCCTACAAAACCACTCAAAGCACGATCAGTCTTTTAGCTCCCCCCTTCCCCTCCGCTTTGATGGTCGGTCTCCAGTCTTCATCAACTCTTAAGAACCGGAGAGGCCTTTACCCCAGAGGCTTGGGAGTAGGAGAGGGGCTCTGTTCCAGGGCTTCCCATTTCCAAACAGCTTCAAACCATGACTTCTAGCACTATCTCACACTGAGATTCTGTACCCATACCCAGACACACTGGCCAGAGGGAAATATGATGGCATTCATCCATAAAATAAGCATGGGGCCTGAGAGTCTGCATTACTAACAGGTTCCCACAGATGCTGTTTGGAGACCAAACTTGGGCCCAGGGCAACCATTGTACTCCCCCACCTCCATCGATCAGAGGTCACCAATACCTACAGATGTTCAGCAACCGGGACAATCAGGAATGATCAATCGCTTTAAGGCAGTTTGCTTCAGGTGCCTCTCCCCCATCATTATCACAACCTGAAGGTTAACCCCTGTTAACTCCAGCCCCATGGCTACTGTCAGTGTGATTTCCTTGTCCTGCCCCATGGGCTCAAGCCACATTCCCGTGAGTCCTAGGTATGACTTCACCCGTTTCTCCTCCTAGCGGATGCTTGACCACCTTGCTTATCTTTTGATTAATGACCTTCAGACTCTCCTCATTTGCCAGGATTTACATTATCCCAAATATAAGAAAACATTTACTAGTGCCATATTTTCTCCATCCATTCCTTCATTCATTCAACAAACCCTTCTCGGGTGTCTACTATGCTCTAGCCACCATGATGGGGGGGACAGCACGTCTGCCCACGACAGTGTGGTCACTGCCCTCCAGTCTAGGGGAGGAGACAGAGAAGAACCAAACAGACACACACAAAATAACCCAGAGCTTAACTGATTATGGAATGTCTGGCCTCCGCTCACCCTGGACTAGGCCTCTCTGGGAGGAAGGAGCTAATTTTTCGTCACCTCCGTATACCCACCACCCAAGGTCAGGTTCAGAGCAGTTTCCTGATTTAAACATCTCAAGGCTCCCTTTGGCCACAGGTGAATCCTGATGCTCCTTATCACCACCTGTTCCTGCCACCTTGCCTCTGTCTTCCTATGCCTTCTTCGGGCAAGACTGAATTCCACTTCTCTGCTGTCTCTCCATTGCCTGGAACACACTGGTTCTTCAGGCCTCCCCTTGCTTCCTCCTCCACAGGCTAATCTGAGGCCCCATCTTAGAGGTCATCTCCTCCGAGAAGCCTTCCTTGACACTCCTTTCAAGCCCCCCCGGGGCGGGGGGAGGGTCACATCCTCACACTCAGGCTCCCCCGTGCCTGCCTTCTGCCTCCCTGCTCTTCACCCGCTCAGTATCCCTGCCCCCAGCCATCGGCACCGGAGCGTCCGGCTGAACGGTGATGCCTCTGTCCAGCCTGCTCTCTGAGCCCAGCACAGCGCCTGGCCTACGGCAGGTGCTCCAGCCATATTTCTTTGACAAAGGTCCAGGCCAGTCCCGCCTTGAAGGCGGGAACCACACTCCTGGCCCAAGAGCCTAGAAAGAGGTGATGAATGATCCACCTACCAGGCCCTTAAAGAAGCCCCCGAGGGACTGTCGCCGCTTCTCCTGTCTCTTTTGGGCCTTGTCCCCGTTCTGCACCGAGTTCGCCTCCCCCGCGGCCGGCTCCACACACTGGACCAGTTCCTTGGCTTCCTGCTTGTTGCTCTTCTGCTTGTTCCCTTCAGCCACCACCTTCTTGTCCTTGGAGGAGCTCTCTTTGCCCTTCTGGTCTGCTCCTGCCGGCTCCGGCTCTGGGGATGTGATCGCCTTCTCTGGTGAGTCTGGCCTCTACAGCAAGTTCAAACAAAATTCATGTTTAGGAGCTATCAGACAATGCTCAATAGCAGGGAAATAAGTATGTCAGAACAGAGGTGTTCAAGTGTTGGATGGGGTCTACGTGTTCATGAGTCTTGGGTGAAATTGAAAAAAAAAATAAGAAAAAGGTACAAATACTTACGATGGTTCAAGGTCACAGTAGAAGATATTATTTGTTTATCTAAAAACTTATTTATGCTTTCCTAGCAAGCATTCTTCTCTCCTTCTTCTGGGACTAGAACTTGGGTTTTCCTTGGAGAACCACCCTTTTCTCTCCTTTATTCACCGTGGTCCAGACAAATTAATTCCGCCCCCGGACAAAGGCACAGGACTCAGGCCTGGTCAGTCAGAGTTGTGCAGGTGATCGGGCTGCTGTGATTGGTTCAGGATGGCTGAACGCAGATAAAAACTGAGCTAATCTCAGAACCTTGCTAAATCAACCGAGAGAGAGGTCTGTCCACTCTGCATTGGATTCCAAACTGTGAAGATAAAAGCCTGGAGCTTCCAGAGCCAGTGCCATTTCCAGGAAAAATCTGCTTGAAGAGGAAGCCAATAGAGAGAAAAGCAGAGCTGAGAGATGAAGAGAGATAGGGGGAGAAAGAACCCAGGTGCTGATGGCCTCACATATGCCTCTGGATCTAGCTGTTCCTGAAACCCTTCTGTGCTTAAGCCAGCTTTGAGAGGGTTTCTCCCACTTAAAACTACATGTGACTCTTTTCTTGGGGATGCCTATCCTTTTTTTCATGGTTATGTCTACCTTAGTTTCTGGTGTGAAACTGTTCTTTCGTTTATAAAACAGTGGAGAGAGAAGATAAGTGTTTTAAGTTTTGAATGTACATCTTTCATGCTGAAGAGAAATTTTTGCAATCCTACTTGGTTCCTACGGTTTGGAAGCATGAAGCTGTAAAATCCAAAATTCTAGAAAATGCTAGGTAAATTACAGATAACAAAATATCTGTAAAGCAAAAGCCTTTTCTCCATAATTTACTTGAACTGAAATTACTATAGGGGTCAGACAGAGGAAATAAAAACATGACAGAGGGCAGGGGTAAGAATAATCACATAGAGACCTTATTTCCCCATTTGGGAAAGCAATGTAGGAAATATTTCTCTAGTGTAAGAAAAACACCAGTTCAAGCAATGCTGGCTTTGATGTTGGGGAGAAAATTGCAGTGGCGGGGAGGATTGTGGTGAATTGTCACATGCCCTGTTCAAAGGGGCAACAGCTGCTCAGACGCAACCAAGATACTACGTAGGATTGCAGCCCCAGTGCTGTCAAGTCTTCTATTTCTCGCATAGAAATTTGAAAACAGCCACAACACCAGCACCCCCGTAGGCCACATTTGACCCGCTGAATATATGTTTACAACTTCTGATTTGTAAAAGTGATAGATTGTTCCCGAGTGAAAAAGTTCTTGGACAAAGTTGCAGTTTGACGGAGAAAGCGATAAGCAGAGAACTGTCATTTCTCATCAGTATCAATATACCCCTTAGAAACAAACAAGAAGACAGAAGACGCCCCGGTCCCGGAAGCCTCCTGAGGGCAGAATTCCTTGGAGAAAGGTAACATCCAACACTGAGTCACTCCAAGAAGCTCGCCTGCCACCACCCACTCTGATTATTTCCATCGGACCCCGGCTGCCGAAGCTGTAGCAAATGCGAAGTAAGATACAGATGCCCAAATGCAACAGAGAGCCGAGAGCAGATACGCCTGTACAGTGGGACAGAAACTCCCACCACAAGGCTCTTCAGAAAGACCACAGACCATTTGAACACCCTGGTGACTGTTTTTGTTGCATAGAAGATGGTTAAGATCCAGTCATTGGCTAAGGGTTTCGTGTTTGGAGTCAAAAGAACAGGGTGTGGTCCTGGTTCCGTCACACCCTTGCTGTAGGACCTGGAAGAAATGATTGGCTCTCTCAGCTTCCTTATCTGTGTGGGAGCAACAAAAGACATCATACCTCATGGTGGTCTGAGGATTAAAGCCTGTACCACAGGGAGTCTGGCCATGGAAAAGGCCAAACATCAAGGGACCAGTCTTCTTGTTTGGTCTGGGAGAGAGGGGGTTCCAAGACATGCAACTTAATTTTAAAACCACAAAGTCCCAGGCAGACTGGGGAGAGTCGGTCAGCCTGACCCGACACTGCCTGCAGAGATTCTTTCTGAGAGATTCTGTCTGTGTGGCTCTGAGAGCCAGGTACGGACCAAGGACTCACGAAATACTTGTTAAATCGAGTGTCCCTGTGCCTCTCCGACCTGGTCTCTTATTCGTCTCCCCTCTGTTCCTTCTGCTCTAGACCCATGGCCTCGTCTTCTTCCTCAAACAAGCTTATTCTCAAAAAAAAGGGACTTCACGTTCGCTGTAACTTCTGCTCGGTATGTTCGGAGGGTTTGACAGGATTGCTGTTTCTTTGCTGTCAAGTCTCAGCTCAGATGTCGCCTCCTTGGAGACGCAGTTCCTGTTTAGACGGTCTAAAGAAGCCCGACCCCTCTCTGACAAAACACTGCTGTGTTTTCTTTATGTTTGCCTTAATCTTGGGGATTTCTTGGCTCACTTGAGAGCGTTCCGCCTGCCTCTCTCTGCTGCAAGGGGAGCTCCAGAGAACAAAACTCTTCTGTCTTCCATGGCTTTATTCCCAGCACCTCATCTGACACATAGTAAGTCTCCACCAACATGGGTTGAATGAATGGCCAGCAAATCACCTTCCAGATGTTTCTACACTATTTCCCTCAGCAAATCACTGTGAGGTGGGGAGTGAGAAGTGCCCACACATCAATAGCTTTCACAGGACATTGATTTTTTTTTTTTTTTTCCAGGAGGGGAGCTTTCAGTGGATCAGGTCCATTTACCACAGGGTTACGCCATGCTATTAGGCTTAAATGTTCTTCTTAATGGCTTAGAAACTAACTTCTGAAAATAACAGATGGCTGGTTCCTTATATTCAGAGTAAGCTAAGAATCTAAAACTGTGTGATGATGGCTTTGTCATTAAATGTAGATGATTTAAAATCTTTGCTTGGGATTTGACTCTCTCAGAATTTATAACAGAAATTATTCTCATCCAAATCATCAGAGTGTATCCTCCCCTAGAACCCAGTGATGCTGGCAGGAAGTTGGAGGACAAGGTCATGGGAACATCCCATTTGATTCAGACCTTGGAAGCATACCTAGACCAGGAGGTGCCTGAGGCTTCTTCTTCTGGAATCATCAATCAAGACTTTTATAACCCTGAGAGGGCAAATTGGAAAGGAACAGAGAATGTCTCTTCCCACCCCCAAAATTCAAATAAGCACTTATCATCTCTCCAAGATTACACATCTGTCTCCTCAAGTCTGGATCCAGGGCCCTTTAATGGATTCTCAGAACACTCCTAGGTGAGTGTAAATAGAATGAGGTTTCTAGCTCACTCCAATTTTCACTGACTTCACTTACATTTTAGAATTGCTAAGATGATTGGCATCACTGCTTCACATCAAGATCCTAGACAAAATGTACAATTATATCTAAATGTTTCATACTGAATAAACTAAATTTATCATATTTCCAAGGTAGTTAACTTCAGGATTTTTGGTTCCGAAGTGGTCTAGAGAATGACTTTGGGGGCAGGTATAGTCATAAGTTGAAAAAGAAAAACAAAAATAATTTGAATCTAGCAAAAAGCAATATATTCCCTGTTGAAATATATGGGCTAATCCAATTATTATGGAAATAGAAATATCATACATTATTTATAGTCATTGCTGTCCATTTGTGTGTGTGTGGTATGAACAGTACACTAGGGTGGTAATTTCCTATCAGTGGCATAATAGTAATAGTAACAAAATAATAGCAACTGGTATGGCTTCATATGTTGAAGACCTAACCCCCAGTGTCAAAGTATTTGGAGTAAGAAAGTGATTAAGGTTAATTGAGGTCATAAGGATGGGGCCCTCATCCAATAGGATCAGTGTCCTTGTAAGAGCTGCCATGTGAGGACACAGCAGAAAACAGCTGTTGGAAAGCAGGAAGAGAGTTCTCCTCACCAAGAACCATGCTAACATCCTGACCTTGGATTTTCCAGCCTCCAAAACTGTGAGAAAATAATTTCTGTTGTTAAACCACTGAGTCTATGGTAGTTTGTATGGCAGCCCAGGCAGCTTCACGTAACGACTAACATTTATTGAGTCCCCGGTGCTAGGACTGCTTCAGGGACTTTACGTGTGTTGACTCATCTAGACATGACAATGCCACGAGGCAGGACTTTTCCTAGCTCCATTGCAGAGAGGGGGAAGCTGAGGTATGGAGAGATTTGGTGAGCTGTTTTTAGTCACACAGCTAAAGAGTAGCGGGGCCAGGGTTCGAACGCAGGCAGTCTTGAGCCTGCAGCTTGTGCTCTTAACCAGTCCTCTGCATTGCAAATATTAGTAGAAGAATATTTGAGGACATTTTTGTGAAGGTGTATTTCTAAGTTAAGAAAGAGTGCAGGTTATAAAATAGGGTGTTGAGCATGAGATGATCCCATTTTAAAAAAAGGATATGTGTAGTTCTAAAAATGTCATAGCTATGTTTCTTTAGAATGGAGAAAATAATGGGAAAAAAAACCCCACATGATCCCATGTCTTTCACCAACTTTTTTTCAAGAAAGAGCTCCTGCTCTATGCCAGGCACTATGCAATGTGATAGAAAAATAAAAGAGGCTCCTCCCTTGCTCCACAGATGCTCCAAACACAGAAAGGAACAGGTAGAGGAGGCATAACTAATAGACAAATGACTTATTACAATGTGTGATAAATTCCATGAAGTGAAAGAACAAGATGCAATGATGATGGGCAGAAATAGAACATCTCCTTGAGGAGGTGACATTTAGGCCAAGACTTGAAGGACAGGAAGGGATTTGCCATGTGGAGAAGACAGAAAAGCATGTGTTAAATGAAATAGCCAAGAAACTCTAGCTTGTTCATGCATGTATCCGCAGAGCCCAAGATAGTGCCTGGTATACAGCAGATGCTTAACCTAGAGATGGTAAATGAGTTGTCTGTGGCTGAGAATTGCATTGGCAACTAGGCTGGAAAGAAGTGAGAACATGCAAACTAAACCCACCACCGAACAGAGTTGACGGGTCACTTACTTGATAGCTGGAGTCTTTCCCATTTATTTCTTCTGAGTGGGTGATCCCTCCATCCCCTTTCACTGACTAAAATAACAAACAGACAATGGCCTTTCAGCTACCATGAGCACAGCAACATGGGGAATGCAAGGGGAGTTCTGAAATGGATGACCTCATTCATTCATGATTGAGATTTGGGGTCCAGACAAATGGAAGACCAGCTAAAAATGTACTACTCATGAGATACACAATTTCCATGTGGCTTGTAACCAGAGTCTGATTATATTCAAGTGTTGGTTTTCCCCAAATAACAAGAACAATGGAAGTCTTAAACCCTGGGATTAGGTAATTCTGGGATAAAGAAATGATGACCAAAATGCTGATGTTGGAACCAAGAGGTGGTGGGTCATGTTGAGTGAACGAACGATTAAACCGTTGGTAGCCTTCTATTGGTAACATTTAGGTGGTGGATGTTTCCTTGTATTTTTTTTTTTCCCTCGCAGAGAGGTGGGGTTTATTGAATATCCTACTTTCCATTTTTAGTGACTGCTGTGGCCTGTGGCATCAGTGATAGGGCTGGATGGGTTGAATTCACAGCTTTGGCTCCTGAAAGCACACACTCAGTGAAGGGTTCTCAAACTGTGATCCCAGGGCCACAGCCTCAGCATCACTTTGGAGTTTGTTAGAAATACCAATTCTTGAGAACCACACCAGATCTATTGAGTCAGAAACTCTCGGGGTTGGGTGGGGGGATGAGCAACAAGCCCTCCGAGTGGTTCTGAAGCATGCTTGAATTTGAGCATCACTTTTTAAAGCTAACTGGCCTAGACAAATGCAGACCAATACCGGGCCTGCTGTCTCAGCTGTGGATTCAGTAATGCTCTATGCCTGACGCTTGATAAAGTACCTAAGAAATCTGGTAATGAATTGCCTAGTTCTTATCAACAATGTTGCCTGGGGTTTAATTCCCACATATCTGGTCATTGCTTATCGTCTCCTCCTCCCCCGCTGGAGGAGGGGAGTGTGGGAAATGGGGGTAAGCGATGTGAGGCAAACAGGAAGACTTCAGCTCCCACTGTTATGATCTTAGCTGTTCTGTCAGCAGATGGCAAGAAACTGTAACACCTGCATCAAGAATAGGTAAAAACATCAAAGGCACTCAAATAATTTTTTGACTAATTAATATTATATGTCTCTGTAACCTGAGGTGTGGTGCTCATATTAGTAATGATAATGAAAATTATTATTCGTGAAATCTAACTCTTAGTGGAGTGCTTACTAAAGGTCAGGCAGTGTGCCAAATGAGATAATAACCCTCACTAGTTCATTTATTCATCATGCAGAACCTTAAGATGGAGGAATAATTTTATTTGCCTCATTTTACAGGCAAGAAAATGGAAGCTCAGAGAAACCAGCATGGGTCATGGAACTAGCAGGTTAGCGAGCAAGGATTTGACACCAGGCAATGACTCCATATCCCATACTCCTTAACCACCTCTCGGTACTGTCCCTCCAAGGTAGGAGCCACCATTCAATGAACACATTTTTTATTAAGCATCTACTATGAAGCCCCCTAATTCGGAAAGATAATAAGGGCTTGGAAAAGATGGAGATTGATAAATCTCAAATAGGGAGGAACATGCCCATCCTCAGAGGTCAACCATGCTCATCTTTAAATACTACTTGGTGCCACTAAGATTCTGAAATCTTGACCAGGACTGTCAATGGTTTAACACAGTATGGCAATTTCTAGGTCTTGTCCTGCCTCAGAAACAACCTTTACAGAGCTTGACATAAGGTAGAACCTTGATACATGCTTCTTGATTGGGTAGGAATGGAAGAAATCTTTCTTCAGCCCGAACCCCTGGTGTCTGGAAGTTCCATGTGCCTTTCTTAGGGACATCACTGTCATGGGTTTCACCAAGGTGTTCAGCCCGGAGGCAAATAAGGATCTGTTTGTCCTCTACATATACTTTAGATCTGTTTGGATGGAAAGTGGTTTTGTCTTCCTCTGGGTCTTCTGCATTGTTCTACAGGGGCCAATCTTGCTTGAGAACATTTAGAAAAAGAAATGGACTCTCTTGGTTATTATTTCTCTCCTTGTAACCAGCTCTGTCAGCCTCCTCATTGCATTCAAAGGTTTTGCCATTTTGGGATTTCACTGGCCTCCAGAATTCAAGCTGTCATTAAGAGCCCTTCCTACCCAAACACATTCCCTAGTGTCCTTTAGAATATGGCATCACATCCTCATTAGCTGGCCTTTGGGGAATGCTGAATGGCAAAACCAGCCAAACAAACAAAATGGCTTTTTAAGCAAAACCTCAGTGGAGATCAGGAGGCAGGCGTGGCCCCTGGTGCCACCTTCCTGCCCAAGAGAGAGAGAGATTTTTTAACTTCCCTCTAGCGGTTTCAATTCGATATCTGTTAGGTCCTCTGCCAGTTTAAGGTTTAAATCTGCTTTCTTCCCCTCCCTGTCTTTGCTAGCCCTTGGAGGAGAATTTGGATTGAATCCAAAGTCTTTCTTGGCAGCAGTGGATCTAGGTTAGCATCCGGAAAACAGCCCCTCCGGCTGTTAGGGAGATCATTGCAAAGAAGTTCAACTTCTTCTTCTTTAAAAAAGAGACTATCTCAAGCTTTTTATGATTTTCCTCTGTTATTCATTTTGAGGCATAAAAAGCTGTATATATGCCAAGGTGACTACATGCTGAGTTTAGACTAAGGGTCTTACTAAGTTCCTCCCTCCCTTCCTCTCTGTTTTCTTTCTATCATTCTTTCCTCTTTGCTGAGTCCTCTTTTAGAGACCAATTCAAATAGTTCATGTTGGGCTCTGTATTCAAAGGACCATAACCACAGAAGCTCATTTTCTCCAGCTGTCAAAAATAGAGTTAATGTTTAAAGAACCCAGATTTTTTTCAGGGACTATCCAATACTTTAAAGAACAGTTCAAAGACTACCAAGTAATTTCCGAGATTTTCTAGTTCATTACTGATCAACTTTCTTCCAGGGGTTTATTTTTAGTCACGAAAGCCAAAGGTGAAGCATCTCAGGGCATCCACCCTGCAGTGTTGGGATGGCACCTGGTTGTGACATCCAAGCTTTGCCTATTAATAAAGTCATTTTTATTTCTTTCATCGTGTCACACATTCTAATAGCTTGATACTCTGAGGAGCATTTGAATCCTCTCCAACGTGTATCACTTAGATATTCAAAGTTCTAGTGGAAATGTTTGGTGGGCAGTTTGCATTTCTTTGAAAGGAGTGCAAGTGTATTTTTGGTAGAGATCTAATTCAACCAAAGTTGAGATTTAAAAGAAGAATTGGGAAGATATTTTAATTTATTATGTGGGATTGTTTACTAGGTCAGCCTCATTGTTACACAAATCCAAGGAACTGGACCTGCTAGAAATTTCCAGAATCAACAAAGGCCATGAGTCCCCACCTTCGTGTTTTACCAAGATGCTCACTTGAAACAGAACTGGACAATCAGACAAATTACACAACCAAGGCAAATCTCAGTTTAGTGACAAACATATTCAGAAAACGTACATCCGAGCTTTTTGTAAGTCATGTATTAATTCTCCTCTCTCTTGCCTTGTTGTAATTTCAGGTGATTTCAGATGAGCGCAGAAAACACTATGAGGAGAATCACAAAAATGGAACTATGGCTGTTCTTTCTCCATGTACTCTCAAAGAAAATCAGCTGCCAGGAGCACAGAAAGTCACAATCACATCTAAGTACAGGGGGTGAGCTTTAGAATCAACAAACACCTGAGTTTGAGTTCTGGCGCTGCTGTTTTCCAGCTCTGTGACCCTGACCGAATCGCTTAAACACACTGAGTCTTCATGCCCTTCTCTGCACGGTGGGGCAGGAATGTGTTGCATGGAGTTTTTAGGTTAATAAATGAGCTAAGGCTCGCACAGTGCTAGCATGGTGCTGGCCAGGCCACTGGCACATGATACATACACAAGTATCTATTATCATCATTACTATAATTATTAACCGAGAGTGCCAAGTGACCGCAGAATCTCCTGTAAGGGTAGAAAGGAACGCAGGCTGCTGTGGAGATAGGAATTGCCCAGAGAAACACTACTTTCAGAAACCTCGCGAAGCACAACTCTGTTTTCATAATCAGGACTTGGGGCAGAATGGGAGATCAAGAACTTGAGCTGGAAGACTCCTGTTTTTGTTTTTTTGTTTCACAGTCACCATTACAAACCATCCTCCTTTTTCCTCCAGATGGTCAATTTCAACAGGTTTTATTAGATTTATAGGTTGAAGGTAAGCAATGGAAGACCGTGATTTCCTGGCTGTATCCTCATTTGGATCTTATATGTGCTCAATATTAAAGCTCACAGTCCCTGTCTGTGCCTGAGAACATGATTCCAACAAAGAGCTTCCTACAAAATGAATGGTCTAAAGAAAGACAGCAGCAGGATTAAATGAAACAGTAGGTGACAAGGGTTCGGAGGAGGAAAGCACTTTTCAAGTACAGGCTGTTATTAATATTGATAGATTATAAATCTATATCTCTATATTCCCATCTACCACTGTATGGTTTCATCCACCTACCTGGTTTGTGGGCACATGAATAGAGTTCTCCACCCACTCACTTTATAAAAATATACTGGCACTTCAAATATCCAATATCTTGACATACACTTGAATTAATACCTATAAGAATCTTTTTCTATTTAGGGCATGACAGATGTCTTAGCTACTCTTTGCAATTATTTTGAAAATCTGTAGGAGCCCATAGGAGTTTTGTGAAGTGATAGAACTACCTGTGTTGGGTGCAGTGCAAGGACTTAGGGAACTCTATTTATTTTTCCTGAAACATACTTATTTTTCCTGAAATAAGATTATTTAAAAAATGATATTCTTTCCATTTCTATTTTTATGAGAGGTTAATTTCTGGAAAGAAAAAGATCTCTTTAGAAATAACCTGGGCAATGCATTTATTTTTTTTAAATATGCAACCCTGAATCACAGTGCCATGGGACAGCAAAATGTTTTCCGAGAGAAATTTAAGGGAGGCCAAGGTGAGGAGGTAGAAAATCAAAAATGATTTGATGAATGGAGACATTGATTGTAAAACAAGGGTGACACATTTACAATGGAGCTTCCTCTTCTTTAAATCAATTATTTTAAAAATAACTTATATTTTTCTAACAATATCTAAAATCAGTTTGAAACGTTCACTTATTTGGCTCACAAAATAAAAAATGAAAAGCTCGGTGATGAGTCAGATGTTGTCTTGATTTTCAAGCCCTGAGAAGAAGGGTTGGTTTGGTTTGGTTTTCTCCCACATAAATCTGGACTTTAAATTAGTTTGGAAGTCAGGCAATGTTAGCTCAAAGTGTTTCCTGAAATGATTGCTGAAGCCAACTTCCAGGAGTGCACACTGTGGGGGATATTAGCACATGTGCATAAAGGTAGGTGTGCAAGGATGTTCATCAGGTTAGTTACTGAAGGACCCGAGATCAATGTGCACGAGACACATGGTGGGTGCTCACTGCATATGGCCTAGAGTTAAAAATAAACATGTTTTCCTCATTGGGCTTTATTCTCCATGAGGACAGGGGCCACGTCTACTTATTGTTGTATCCCAATGTCTGGAATACAGTGGGTACTCAATAATTATTTGTTGAAAAAATGACCAAATGAAGTGCAGCAAGTTGGAAACAAATCCAATGTCCATCAAGAGACAATGGTGAATCCAAGTATGATAAACCCAGTTGATGTGATTCAATGAAGTTGTTATAAAGAATGAGGTGGTACTATATCAAGGATGCAACACCAAATACCCACAGGGATAGGGCTAGGGATATAAATGAGTGAGCTGGGCGTGAGTACAGGGAGTCGTGGGATCGCGGTGAACTGGAAAACCCACATCTTCTGTGTATTTGAATTATTCACAATGGTGATATATTTTTATAATGAAAACAAAACAGACTGCAAGACAAGAATCACTAGGGTATCTGGAATTTTTAGGGAGAATCCCCCAGGTCATGGAAGCTTTGGAGTTTCAACATTAATAGAGAGGAATAATGTTCAAGCTCCCAGGCATAACTCTTTCTATGGACGGTAGATAATAAGAACAATGGACATAATAGGACCTGATGCTATGAATCCACTGAAGATTGCTCCGGAAAAAATGTGTCTTCTTCTACCTCTATCCCTATCCTACGGAGAATCAATTATAAAGGACTCTTTTGTTTCCAACTTGTTCCCCTAACAGTTCAGAGGTACCCATTTCTATTGCTAGAAAATATCCCCCAGAAACCTCTAAAGGATAGCTCTGGAGGGTGAATTTAAGTAATGTGGGACTCATTAGAATTCAAGGATTTGAATTGAATGGATGTAGTGGGTGGTTTAGACACCTTTCGTGTTTTATTTGGAGGCTCTTGCATTTTCTTGTCCTTAAGCGAAGAAGTCTCAGGGTGGTTATATGGAAAAGAAAGTCATACTATTTGCTATGTTGGGGGCGGTAATCTCTCATCTCCACCGAGAAATGGGAAAGTTGGATCACTCTCAATGTTATGATGAGCTATTTGGGGATGCCATTTGTAATGTCAATGGGTTGCCAGAAAAAGGCCAAATGTTCTTTTCTTTCCTGACATTGTGTAAAAATTGGTTGAAAAATCTCAGATCTTGATCCCCATTTTCAGTGCCAAATTGCAGAGTAAATGACCAGGAACATAGATGGGGTCCCAGCCATACAACCTGCTCACTACTAACTCTACCTACACTTCCTACTCTCTGAGAGTCCAGGGATAAAAGAAAATGATTCCTGTTGACACTTCCTAACAGAATCATTTCTAATATGCCTCAGCTCCCACTGGCAAGGGTTTTGTGTTATGTTATGTTGTGTTGTGGACTAGAAAGAATTCCTTAACAGGCAGAGCCTGTGAAACCAAAGGGTTGCTTTCTCAAAGGATTAAATTCCCAAATACTCCTGAAAATAATGGTACACGATAATGAAATTCTTGTTTTTCATTAAAAGAGAATTAAACCAATGACCTTTTACATGGGCTTTTGCTCTTTGTCTTCCAACCAAGTTGGGTTTTGTTGCATTATAATTATTTAAGTTCTTGGTTGCTTTGTTATTTAATGTACATGACACTTCAGAGACACCAAAAAAACATCTGCCCACATTCTTTCCATTTTATGCAAGCTAAAAGCCTGGCAAATTCACCAACTGAGTTATACACATCCACTATGGGAAAATTATGTTGTCACTTTATGATTGGAATTATTTATAAATCGGCTTTGTCCAAATTTGTATCACTCACACATCACTTTCAGAATTTTTCCAACACCAGTATATAACTTGGCCTATTTCTTACCTAGTACTTTAAACAATGCCTTATGTTCTTTGTGTAAATAAATGTATTCTCAAAGGAAACTGCATATCATTACCATAATGAGAAAAACAATATCATTTGCCATACAGAGAAGGAAACTTTAAAAATAAATTAAATTGAAAGCGAACAGTAATATTAACTTCTGCATGGATGCTGCTGTCTGCCAAAGCTCAGCACCCAAGACCAGCTCTTTCTTTGTTAAAAAGGGAGTTAGCAGGAATTAAGGAAAGATTAAGGAACATTAGCAATAAACTGAGACTCGCTCAATGATTGAGTCAGAAGGAGGAAAAGCAGTTGTCTCCCTGCACACAACAGATCACGTGTATCCCCTCTACACCACCTACAATTACGGCTCACCCCACCTGAGATGGGTCCTTCGTTTGCGAAAGCTGATCTGGGTATTTCAGCTTTCCTGGGCTGGAAACAGGTGGCTTACCATTTGTCTGAGAAACGCCATCAGGGAGGTTCGCGGTGGTTTGCGTTCTTCTCTTTTGAATCTTACTTCTGTGGGTTCGGGTGTGGCATCTCCTTCTTCATTGAGATCCACTGTTTGTAAGGTTGATTCTACTTCCTCGGACTTTACAACCTCTACTGGTGATTCACACACCACCTGGTAATTATTTTGCCAGGTAATAAGACAGTGAAAAAAAAAAAAAACATTCCCCCAAACAGGCTTTATAAAGTGAGGGGTCCTGGTTGCCCCCTTGTCCACATGCTACAAGTCTGACCCAATGATCATTTCTACACAGGCACATCTTCGAGAAGGAACACCCATGTCTTATAGTGTGCTTTCCAACAGTCAATTTCGGGAAAAAAGTCCAAATACCCTGACTCGGAAGTGGCAAAAATCCTGCTCCACGAGGTACAAGGCTTAGATAGGAAGCCCTTCCTGGGGACTGCCATCCACAGCAGGCTCACTACCCCTTCCGTTCCGGGAGGCCCCCCTCTTTGGTCCACCATCAAGGTGACTTACCCTTGGCCTGTATAAAAATCAGGAGTCATCATTTCCTTAAAGGTCCTTGGAGATGTTGGCCACGATACCTTCCATCGCATGCCCTAAGATCCCCCCGCAACTGGGAAGACTTGCCCTCTTTGCGGAAAAGATAGTGTGAAGTCCACACTGGATTTAGCAGTTGGGACCCCCTCCTTAATTTACTTCCCACCCCACCCCAGGGCCGGTCATTTGCCTTTGTTTCTTAACCGAAGTTCCTGCTTTCAGAAGAAAACGGAACTTGGCAAGAACACCATGGTGAAGTTCCTGACGGCCCCCAGCAAGGTACCCAGGGAGCTCAGCGCCCCCTGAGGGTCCGCTGGGGAGAAGGGGTGACCAGCAATGGGAGGTTGGGACGCAAGGTCTGATTCACCTGCGCTCTGATTCCAAATTCTGTTCTTTTGCCTTTGCCTCACACAATTTGTGCTGTGCCCCAGTCACATCTGGGCCAGTTTCTACTTTGCATTGATCCTTGCAACAGATTTAATTGGCCTGGAGAAGGCTCCATAATTTCTTTGTTTCCTCAGGCAGGGCCTGGCAAACGACTACAAAATCCATCCCAGAGACTGTTTTTAGCACAGCCCTGAGCTAAGAATGGATTTTACATTTTTTTTCAAAGGGTTGTAATATGTTTTTAAAAGATGAAAGACAGGCAAGAGAGACTACATGTGGCCTGTTAAGTCTGAAACATTTACTGCCCGGCCCTTCACACAACAGGTTTGTCATCCCCTGCCTCAGAGGAAGGCTCTCTAGAGCCAAAGGCACCTTTGCATTTGTCTTTGCCGGTGCTGGACCCTCCAGCTTCCTCTGTATCTTATATTTGCCGTCAGGGAGTGGGGGAAGGGACCTTAGGTATTTCCAAAAACACCTGTATGCCTGTGGAGAAATCATTTTCCTTTTCTTCATGCAGAATATGCCATTGGCTTGCACATGACCCCAGTGATCCAAATTGAGAAGGACCGTTGATTTCTGTATCGTCAAGCAAAACAAGAAGGTGCCCATTAACAAAGCAGCATGAGGGAACACCCTGAAATATGGCACCTAAATCACAGCCTTCTCTCTCCACCTTCCATTTTATAACACATTGACACAGCTTCTAGCATCCTTCCTTTGTAGATAAAGATCTAGGTTGGGGAGTCATCCACTCAAAAGTCCGAAAGCAGCGAGGCAGGCAGGTAAGATCAGCATGGATTGACCATAGGACACAAAGGAGCAGTTGGGGCTCTGGTGGACGAGTCAAGTTGTCCCACCTCAAGAAGGAAAATGCTGGACCGCAAGTGTCTGTGAGAAGGCTTCTCCTACTGTGAGCTGCCAGGCTCTGACCCAGGCCCATCTTGGGAAACCAGGCTGAGACTGAAGCCAGGTGACATACTGGGATTGGTGGTCAGACGTGGTCATGGATTTCCACATCTGGGCCTGATTCAGTTCAGTTGCATTTCTGAGAAAAAGCTTTGGCCACCAGAGTCCAGGGGTAAGCCTGAAATGCAGGCAGTCTGACGCAGGGCTCATGAGAGCAGCCTGCAGCTCCAGCCCTGCCTGGCTCCACGTCTCCCCTCCACCCCTTATGGAGGCTCTAGACCAAGGTCTCTACTCAATATCTCTGTACCTGGGTTTTCTCAATTCTTGGCGTGGACAGTATACACATCAGAAAGTTGTTGGCAAAATTAAATCAGGCATAAAGTTCTTAGAACAGTGCCTGACCCATAACAAGCACTCAATTAATACTAGTGGTCGTTACTTGTGCTATTATGAGAGCTGTTTATTCCATGGGCCTGAATTATGAGGAATCCCACTTTTTAGAGATGATATTAATATCTAACTCTTACTATGGCTGACATCGTACAAGATATTTTAATATATTACCTCAGTGAATGGTTATTGAATTATTAAAGAGCTCAGAGTAAGTAACATTATCCCTATCCTAGAGACGAAGAATCTGAACGACTGAATGACTTGGCCAAAGTCATAGCACAGGTAAGTAGCCATTTTAGTGAGGATGGTGTTGTGTACAGTAACTGAATACCTAATAGTGATTTTACTAGTAATGGTATAGAACAATAAGTTTGCAAGTTGGAAGTTCTAGGATTGGTTTAATGGCTCCACGATGTCTTTTAAGAACCGGGGCCCCTTCTCTCCTTTGGCTCTGCCATCCTTGGCATGCTGGGTTTTCATCCTTTTAGTTGTTACCTCATGGATATAAAATAGCTGCCACAGTTCCAGGCATCACATCCTCAACCTAATGTCTTAAAAAAGGGAGGAAGGCCATAGCAAAAGGTTTGCTCCTGATGAACTTCTGTATTTTGATTTCTTACCTCAGCTACATTTCACTGGCCAGAAGTGGTCACATCCTTACTCCCAAATTTTTGTTGAGAAAAATAATGGGATAATTGCTTTAGACTAATCATGATCAAATACTCTGGGGGTGTGGTAGTTGCCAACCTTGCCTAAGATCAAAGGAAGAAGGGTGGAGAAATGGGAAATAGCCCTTAGGTAGGTAATGACCAGAGTCTGATTCACTGAATCTGGCTTCAGAATTATTCTACCTTTGAAGCAGCAAGTTCCTTTTTTGAATGCAAGAGCCTAGAGGGAAAATTACATAATAAAATGATCAGACTGTGTAGCAGTAACTTCATCAATCGAGTTTTTGATTGCCAATGGTTTTCTGGCTGGGCCTTTAAAAATTTGAGTGGTGTCAACTCATAAATCCTAGGCCAGAGTCCATTCTTCAAAACACAATTATTTCATAAGTAAGTCAGTCAGAGAAAGACAATTATCATATGATCTCACTGATATGAGGAATTTGAGAAACAAGATAGAGCATCATAGGGGAAGGGAGGGAAAAATGAAACAAGACGAAACCAGGGAGGGAGACAAACCATAAGAGACTTAATCTCAGGAAACAAACTGAGGGTTGCTGGGGTGGTGGGGGGTGGGAGGGATGGGGCGGCTGGGTGATAGACATTGGGGAGGGTATGTGCTATGGTGAGCGCTGTGAATTGTGTAAGACTGTTGAATCACAGATCTGTACCCCTGAAACAAATAATACATTATATGTTAATAAAAAAAATTAAAAAAAACCCACAACTATTTTAGTAGGAAAAAAAAAAGTCTGGTTGGAGGGACTTCTAGAGACTCCCATTAACTTTGAAGTCAGGCCAAGAAATTGGCTCTCAGCAGCCAAGGAAAATCCACTGATTTCCAGTGGGGAAATCCAGAGGATTTGAACTGAATTAGGAGCTGATTTGCATATACAGACATAGAATTTGATTTTTGTTTGGATATTTTTCTGATATCCTTCCCGGCCAGGGTTTTGGAAAAAGTTACTCTCTATTTAGGAAAAAAAAAACCTGCATCTGCACATTTTAATTTTGGGCATGATGGATATAATGAAAATCAGATTTGTGCTATATTTTAGAATCAAATCCCCCTTGCTTGATTTCAGGAGAGGGGATATCATACTTTGCGGGAAGATGGCTAGTACGTTTAACACAGAAAATACACATTAAGGGAGCAAAAGGTTTCACTTTTTGGCCTCAAATGTTATACTATATTTACTCTTGGAATTTGGATTATACAGTTTTCACTAGAACTGTGAGTTTTGGAAACTGATCTATAGCAAAATAGATTTCCTCCACCTACACTTCCCCCATAACACACAGTATTGATACTAACAGTTTTTACCTAAAATCTTTTAAAGATGCTAGCTGGTTTGATTTAGAATGTGATTATTTGGTTACAAAGACCTGGGAAAAGTTTTATTTTTCAATCTAGTCACCATTCGTCCTCCATTCTCTTCATGGAACCCCAGTTTTATTTTAGGGGAACAACCCTCCTTACTTTAAGCCTGCATGATCAGGATGCCGTTGTTTGAGCAGATCTAAGCCAATCCTAGCCAAGGTCTAGCTCCTTGACCATATGAGTTCAGGGATGGGAGTATGTGGCAGAATGTATTACTTTCCCAATTATTCTCCCTGGCTTCCTGTAAAGGGATCAGGCATCTGTGCCCACTGCTGGGTGACTTGCTTTGGTGAATGTAACATGAGCAGACATGCCGTAAGGCAAGACTGAGTGGAGGCTCTCTGAGCCATCTTATGGCTCACCTCTGGCTGTCTTCTCTCTTGTCACAACAATTGCCCGTCCTTGATGAAGGGGATGTTTTTCTCAGTCTAGATCTCAGCAGGACGAAGCCACGTGGATCAGCCACAGCCAACCTATGGCTGCCATGTAGCATGAGTGAGGAAGAAAAGGATCTTTGCTGTTGAAAGCCAAGTGTAGGGCTTGGACGTTACCGCAACATAGCCTGGCAAAAGCTGACTCACAAAGCCTGTGAACCCATGTAAGTCCATGAAAGTGAACAGACTCCAGCACCTGCCGGGTTTCCACTGGCCCAATCTCTCCTTTACTCTGGACCGTGTGATGGGATGTGAGAAGAAAGGTAGCCAGGCCAAGAAGGCTGAGCCACAGGGAAGTTCTGCATCAAGACTGATTTAAAACCAGTGCTACTTCCCAGTGAGGAGTGACAATGAATTTCTTTTTTTAAAACAAATCCAGGTTGGGTTGAGTTTCCTTTCCCTTGCAACCGAGAGATTACTTACTAAGAGAGGTAAACAACAGAAGTACCTATTTCCTTCATTGTATAGGTCATTGGGAAGGAAAGATTTTTATCCCCCATGAGTTAGAACATTAACTTAATTAAGCAATGGCCAAAATGTTTTCAGATTACAGCGGAATGATTCAGTAGTTTCTGTAGTAGATTTTATTTCTGATAGGACCAGAAGCACATTCTAGGAAAAGCACTAAACTTCTGTGGGTTTCAAAAGCCTTGTTTTTCTCTTCATGAAAAACTTTGAGAAATGTGGAAATCACTCTGTCTTTTGCTTCGCATTGATTGATAGATGGGTTATAGAAATTGATGGTAGAGAAATTAAAAAATAAATAAACCCAACCATATTTTAGCCAGAAGTTGCTAGTTAAAGGACTCTTATAATAGGATTAATCACACCTAATGGTCCTGTTTGGAGGTTTAGAGTCCTATACATTGTTTTGATTAATGCCATCTCTCTTATTTGGGAGGAGGAAATTAAACTAATTATTTCACACATGCCTTCATTCCATATGGGCACTGAGTCAGCTGACAGATGTATAATTTCACAGGGCAAAATAATCACTGATTGCTGGGAAGCGCTCACTCATCACATTATAATTCCTATGCACTAACAGTTACTGCAGGGGCGGCAAACTCTTCCTGCCAAGGGCCCTGTCCCAACTACTCTACTGTACCATTGAAGCAGAAAAGCAGCCATAGATGATATGCAAATGAATGAGTGTGACTGTGTTCTAATAAAACTTTATTCATAAACAGTGAAATGTGAAATCCGTGTAATATTTTTAAAAACAGGTATTCTCATTTTATTTATTTATTCATTTATTTATTTAGAGAGCATGAGCATGGGAGGGGTGGGGAGGGGTAGAGGGTGAGGGACAGAGAGAATCCTAAGCAGACCCCATGGCTAGCACAGAGCCCCGTGTGGGGCTCGATCTCATGACCCTGAGATCATGACCTGAGCTGACATCAAGAGTCAGACACTTTGCTGACTGAGCCACCCAAGTGTCCCAAATTTGTGTAATTTTTAGTACCCTGCAATATCATTCTTCTTTCAATTTTTTCATCATTCAAAATGTAAAAGCCATTTTTAGCTCGTGGGCCGCAGGGACACAGACAATGGGCTGGAATTGGCTTGTGAGCTGCAGTCTGCTGTGCCCTGAATGACTGAATTCTTCCTGTGTTTCAGGCCCTGAAGTATGCACGTTACATGCCTAGTTCCCATTTAATTCTCACCAGAACCCTAAGGGGTAGGTAATATTATTGTGGTCATTTAAAAGATGAGTAAACTGAGGTCCCAGAAGTGGCACAGCTTGGGGATGATGGGCCCAGAATCACTACTTTTAGCCTCATTCCCTCCAACTAACAGGCTGTTAGACAATGACATGTTGGAGCTTCCAAACAGAGACGTTACTTGTAGGGCCAAGTAATTTAAAGCCATTTTGATCATGTTTATTTTCTTGAGAAAATACTTTGCTTTCTTTAATATCTTCATCAGCTTTTTTGTTCTCTTTTGGTATCAGTAATTTAACTTTTGTTCACGTTTATATTTCTGTTTTGAACGTCACATTAGAAAAGGGTATACTTCCTCTTTGTCTGTCAAAGGTCAACTCTGCATGTTAGCACCTGAGCTGCAAGGGGTTCCTCAGACAGGCAACTGCACACAAACATCTAAACACAAGTTTCTCTTCAAAAAACAAACTCAGAACCTCAAAGCTAACTGATGCTTCAGACTTAACCTACAGCTTTTAAATTTAAAGTTCGTGGGGAAAAAGACTCACAGAGTTCTTCCTCACATGTTGGTGAAATAGAGGCTTTGACTCTACAGAAAAGAGCTGGTATATTCATGAGAATTTTCTGGAATTATGAGAGATCTGAGCTTTGCCGAGCTACTAGAATTGAGTCAAAGGAGAGGGTGAGGGGGAAAGAAGAAAGAAAGAAAGAAAGGAAGGAAGGAAGGAAGGAAGGAAAGAAGGAAGAGAGAGAGAGAGAGAGAGAAAGAAAGAAAGAAAGGAAGGAAGGAAGGAAGGAAGAAAGGAAGAAAGAGAGAGAGAGAG